ACCCACTTGTTGATTTCAATGTTCTTCACCCACTTGTTGATATCTGTGTTCTTCGCCCACTTGTTGATTTCGTTGTTTTTCACCCACTTGTTGATTTCAGTGTTCTTCGCCCACTTGTTGATTTCGTTGTTTTTCACCCACTTGTTGATTTCGTTGTTTTTCACCCACTTGTTGATTTCGGTATTCTTCACTTATATGTTCTTGATTTCATTTTTGTGATCTGTACTTGTTTATTTTTCTTCTTCTTTTGTTGATTTTATTGTTCCCTTTGATTTCTTCTTTCCTTTGTTGTTTTCATTGTTCTTGTATCACTTGATTTCATAGTTTTTCTTGTCTCGCTAATTGATCACATTGTTGATTTCTTTGTTGTTTTATTGTTCTTGTCTCATGTTGATTTTGTTGTTGTTTTATTGTTCTTGTTTCATGTTGATTTCTTTGTTGTTTTATTGTTCTTGTCTCATGTTGATTTCTTTGTTGTTTCATTGTTCTTGTCTCATGTTGATTTCTTTGTTGTTTCATTGTTCTTGTCTCATGTTGATTTCAGTACCTGTTCTAGGATTTGGAACTGGTTTGTTATCTGATAAAACCTACCAAGCCGTGAAATATGCCCTTGAAGTTGGATACAGGTAAATACTCCCTTTTTTGGAACATTTTATTTTCGCAATGGACATTAATTGTTGAATGCACTATAGGCATTGTTTCATATGTTCCTAATTGTTGCACATGAAGCACATATGCTCACACATTGAACAGTGAAAGGTATTGTATGCTTGAGTGACGGTGGTCAGTGTGCACTGTGTTGTCCAATATAGCAATGAAAACAACACATGTAAATCATCAAAATCAAACATTTCTTGGCTGTTTGCAGATGGATTTTGTTCAAACTTGGTACACACATTGGAAATTATGGGACCTTGATGCACGTCATTTTGTTTTTCAGATAAGATTCATTTTGTTTCTATGAATACAGTACTATTAAGTGCCGTATCTCTGACATGCTATGATTGATCATGTTCAAATGTTAAATATTCATTAAACATTATCTCATAGATATACAGATAAATTGGTTTGACAAACTGATTCAAAATGGTCGAATGGTGGCCATTTTATTCTAAAAAATCATCAAAATCATTTCTGGCATTTCAGAACTGGTTCTCGGTTGTGTATTGATGTATTTCGTTCAAACTTGGTACATACATCAAGCATTATGGGTTCCTGATCCACATCATTTTGTTTTTTATATTTTTTTATTTTTATATTTTATATTTGTTTATTATACATCATGTAATAGATATACAGATGTATTGGTTTGACGATCTGATTCAAATGGTTGACCGGTGGCCATTTTGTTTTAATTAATGCTGTTCCAGAGCAATATTTCTCAATATGAACAAGTACTTGTACTACTGTAAAATACTTTATTTTCGTATGGAATTAATTGTTGCCACTTTAGCTGAAGGAACGATTAATTGAAACAAATCAGGCGGATATACTTTTTTCTCCATATTTTGCATTCAACTTGTCAAAAATCAGTGAAAATACATACAAGACAAAAATTTCTGCAAAAATTAATTCCAGCTAAAATAAAATATTCTACAGTATGTTACAAAAAACAAAACTATATAACTAAGATTTGATAACTATTGGGGACTGTGCCATGCATGGCTTCTTTTTTTATAATATATTTTTTCTTATATATCACTCTCAAGTCATCAAAAATCAGTGAAAATAAACATCATACAAAACACCCAAAAAACCTTGTCAGTGAAAATTAATTCCAGCTAAATAAAGTATTTTACAGTACATGAGATTTGAACATGTGCAAGTGGCGACTACCCTTGAATCATTCTTTCAATCTTTACAGTTCTTCCCTAGTGTTTATATTTAATTGTCATCTGTGCCAGGTGCAATTCTTTTAATAAATTTAGGTGTATTTATGATTATACATAATGACCTACTTGGTGTAAAGGATTCACAATTTATGTTTTATATAAACCAGAGGTATATTACGATGTAAGCAAATTACAATCCAAATGACAATGGCAACTGTTAATTCCTGTCCTTGCTGCTCTGATGATCTTTAATGTATTTATCAATAAACTAATTGATATTTATAATAAATTATATTGTACTTTAGGTTGATAGATACTTCACAGGGTTATCCCAGATCTGAGGAGGACATTGGAAAGGCCATAAAAGACTCAGGAATTCCTCGTTCAGAAATTATTATTGTAGATAAAGTTCATCCAAAATATCTGGGATACCACTCCACCATTAAATCTGTGGAGGAAAGTTTGAAGAAACTTCAGACTGATTACGTTGATATCTTTTTAATTCACTCCATTGACTGTGATGATTTTCTACTGACGTGTGATATGGACAAGTTAGAAGGAACTTGGAAGGATACATGGAAAGCGCTTGAGGCATTAACGAAAGAAGGAAAGATCCGGAGCATTGGTGTCAGTAATTTTGATTTACCATTGATGACTGAATTGATGGAGATTGCCACAATACCTGTATCTATAGTACAGAATCAATTTGATGTTTTGAACCGTGATGATGATGTTCGTAAATTTTGTTCTGACCATAATATACAGTATATGGGTTACAGTTCTCTGGGTAGGATGTGGACTTTTGAGCATAACGTCGCCGAGAATCCTGTACTTAATAACCCTGTGATACAACATATCGCTATTTCGCAGCAGCGAACAGTACCGAATATTGCACTACGCTGGGCAATCTACCATGATGTTATCGTCATACCGTCTTCCGCAAATGAGCATCATATTTTGACAAACATTCAGTCTTTAGAAGTTATTCTCAATGAAGACGAGATGGAAGAAATGGACAATATCCCGGTAATTGATCTGGATAAGTTGGACAATGCAATGGATTTAGCTGAGAGGCAGGGAAAGCTGAAAAATGGACAATTTCTGACGAACAGTGTTATTGAATTTATTACTACCTACATGATTGATGTGAACACGAATGATCCCAACATAGGTACATGCACTACTGAAAATTGTGGAGAAAATGAAAACAAATATACAGAATCGGCACAGAAAGAATATGAATGGGTAAAGCCGGATAAACCTGGAAGCGCAGTGACCCTGTATGAAAAGGTCAACTTAGAAGATGAGACCATCTATTTTGGTGCAGAGAACTCCTACATGTACGCTATGGATGCTAAGACAGGAAATATCAAGTGGAAATTTCAAACAAGTAAGATTTAATAAACACTTCATCACAAAAACACAAATATGTATGAAAATATTAAAACTAATAATGACTAATAATTTGTATGACTTCCTGACATTTACATTTGCCATATTAGCTCAATAGAACAACACATAAACCAATTTATTCACCTATTTGAATGCCATATTTTTTCTTTGCCAAATTGTTCATGCAACATTCTGCCTATTGTTTTTATTTGTCTATAAATATTTCAATAATTTTGAACTGAATGGACCTATTTTCTATTTGCTACAAAATATTTGAGAACAAAATTATGTAGGTTTTTTTGACAAAAGTTGACTTTTGTGCTCAGTGGGTAAGGATCTGTTGTTAAAATTTAACCTTTGACCCAGACCAGACTAGATTATATCATCAGTATTTTTAACACAATGTTTTGAAATCATCATCTCAGCCTGTCACGTCACTGCTGGCGAATGGCCTCCACAGCAGCTTCCACGCTTGGCGATCCTGTGCCACATGAGTCCACAAGATACCGACCTTCTCTTCAATTTCATCTCTCCATCTTCTTTTAGGTCTTCCTTTAAATTCACGAGTAATTATATTGATATTTTGCCTTCCCCTAAGCATGTGCAGTCAAGACAAAATACTAAAACTATTCATATTCTTGTAGGTTACTCGGATCTTGCTTCCTGTGCAGTGTTCAGTCAAGATGGCAGAACTATCTACTTTGGTGGTGAAGACGCATACTTTTATGCACTAAGTGCAGTAGATGGCAGCGTACAGTGGACCTTTGAAACAGGTGCATTTAATAATAACACATGTTTGTGAGGGCAATATCATGATTTGCTGCCTGCCCAAGGGATGGTGGTCATGACCATAATATTTATGATGCCAGAGTCAAAGGCATCATCAATATTATGGTCATGACCAAGAGCCCCAGGTGATATTGCCCGAATGGTCATGTATTATATATTTTATCACATCTACCAAACACCACTATAACACTAACGCTCTCCCACAAAGTAATAACTCTTATATTTGAAGTATGCAATATTTTATTTTATGTATTATAACAAGTGGCACATTACTCAATATCATACATACATTGTTTGCTGTCTCCTCTCAAAACCAGTTTGTTTATTTTTTGTGTCATGTGACAGTTTCAGACACTGAATTGGAAGTGCAAATGCAGACCGTTATATTGATTTTACCTAAAAAAAATGTTATGGACAACATGACAGGGCTGAATAACCATCTTCCTATCAAATGGCAATTTACTACACTGTTCTCTGTAAAACTTGTTCCAGATTCCCCCAAAGTCACATTGCAAGTACCAGCATATCTTAACTAGACAAATAGTGGTTGTCGCATCAGACTCATGATCGGTAGACCCAAGTTCAAATCCTACCTTAGGCTGAACATCAAAAGGGTAATTGACTCCTACTCTTAGTGAGTGTGCCACAGACTCAATGGGAAGGCCAATTCCACTGGCCAAGATTTATTCACTAACAAATGCGACTTTGGGGGAACCTTTGTTAAGGTCCGCAGGTGCTTGTAATTGACCAAGCCTGGTTGATGCCAGGATAGACATTTGATAGAGAGATGGCCACATGGCCCTGTCATGTACATGTAATCCCAAACACAAATATGACTTCTGTGGCAAAATGCACTATGTGTCAGCACAAGCACTTGCTCTTACACTTACAAACAAAAAAAGTCAGGAGAGACAACAGTGACACTCAATGTCTAGAAAAATAAAAAAATAAAAAAGTACCAACATATCTTAACCAGAAGAATAGCTGAGAACGAATATATCATTGTGGTAAAGTGATAATAAAATACAATATTATGTAGGATTTGTGGAAGTCTACTGTTGTCAGATTTAATAGTAGTAAATTAAGCTGCTTTTTTGTTGCTTTTATTAATCATAAAATTGTCCCACAAGTAATGTAAAAACCATATTAATTGCTTCATATTCAACAAATAAAAGGATATTTTTAAAGACTTCCTGGATATGCTGGACTGCTAATCCATGTAATCCTAAGGTGGTGAGGTTTAAACCATAATTATGCAGTAATCCTATCTAGTCTCACCAAGATTTCATCCTCATTTCAGTAAAGGGATTAGATCCTAACACATTAAAACATATTAAAATAGACTTTGTACATGACACCATGGAAGTAATCTTATTACCTCCATGATGACACCAAGAGGTCACACATCCTGGTACTTTGTACATGACACCAAGAGGTCACACATCCCGGTACTTTGTACATGACACCAAGAGATCACACATCCTGGTACTTTGTACATGACACCAAGAGGTCGCACATCCTGGTACTTTGTACATGACACCAAGAGGTCACACATCCTGGTACTTTGTACATGACACCAAGAGGTCACACACCTGGTACTTTGTACATGACACCAAGAGGTCACAGACCCTGGTACTTTGTACATAACACCAAGAGATCACACATCCTGGTACTTTGTACATGACACCAAGAGGTCACACATCCTGGTACTTTGTACATGACACCAA